GAAGAAGAAGAAGAAGAAGAAGAAGAAGAAGAAAAAAAAGAGAAACAAGAGAATCCACGGAAAACGAAGAAACGGTGTCTCTTCTCGCGAGAGAAGACGAAAAGAAGATTACAAGTCTCTCCCCCATTTTATTTCGAAATATACATTTATTGAAAATAATCTCGTTCTTGCATCTGTTCACTGTTCTCACTGTTCTTATTTTTCTGATTTTCTTTTTTTATCCATTTTCTTCCATACTCATCTGTCGTCACACTTCTCTCATTCGTCTTTACAGTCGTCGTTTAGATTATACATCGTTGCTCCTGATTGTGGTCCAGGTATATATATACGGATTTTCCCTTTGTACTATGTTTGCTCGCATGCTCGTCGTATTGGGCTGGGACCGTGCTTAATCGTTCGTCGCTCGGGACTCGGGGAACCACCGACGAATAGCTATTCGTATAAATATCGAGAGACTTGTAAAAAGAAGTGGCCTAATTTAACGAATTTCCTTTGAACTTTTAACTGTGCAGTTGAAGACTTTAAAAAGCATTAAGAATCTTCTCCGTGAGAAACTAAATGAAATATTGAACTCTGTACTACTAGAAAATAAGGAAATTATATGAATAATTCAATGTTTCAATCCCAATGTTCGATTTTAGGTATGTAAACCTCCCATGACCAATGGTACTCATTTCTAAAAGGTCGAACGAAAGAAAAAACATCGTTCTACCAAATTTACCCAAATTTCCCTGTTATTCGTCGCAGGTTGTCAACCGAGTCCACGAGCATTCGAGAGAATTGAAATGTCCAAGTAACCCGACACGGTCCCATCGCTACTCGTGCTGAATCTAGGCGACGACGCTCGAGATCTCCTCTCCGGTAGGCTCCTCCCTCGCGCGCCATTTCGCGCGGCCGTCCGCCATCTTGCGCGCGCTCGGCCCCGCCCAGAGAGGAAATCTCGGCCCGCTGCGCCGCGCGAGTGGTCGCGGATTCTCGGCATACAAAAGTAATAAAAGTGTTCGCGTGGTTCGTCGGTCACACAATTGTACATTCGTGATAAATCGTGATCGATAAAAACGTTGGTCGTTCGTGCGCGCCACGTCCGGTCGGATCGACGCCTATGGTCGTCGATTAGCGAAACCGAAAAGAAAGAAAGAAATAGTAAACGAAAACGAAACAATGAAACAAAAAAAAATAGAAACAAAAAGTAAAGTAGAGGTACGCATCAGATGAACGTTTCTCATTTTATTCCTGGAGCAGCGTGGTTTCTTTCGTCACTTCGTCGGAGTTAGTCGTGTAGTCAGGCGCCTATACATATACATACTTACAACAAGCGGATCAACAAACGAAAACCACCGTGAACAGAGAATCCCGAGAGTTACCGTTCACGGACTCGTCCCGTTTATTCGTTCGCTTGCAATATACCTTGAATAGAATTATATTTATATTATATTTATATATATATATATAAGACTGATTCGAGCATCTCGTTAGATAATCGAGACGGGATTAAGCCATCGTCAGGGTGCCCGCGCCCATGCCGAAGCCTACGCCCTTGGGACCGAAATTTCTGTTGTAACAGCCGCGACAGTAGATGTCGCCGTCCGGACCGTCATTCAGGTTCGTCGAGTCTAACGAGCGATGACACTCGCCGCAGCTGAAGCAACGCTTGTGCCACACGCGGTTCTTCGAGATCATCTGCTCCGCAGCGTATACCGGGTAGCCGCAACGCGCGCAGCCGAGGCCATCCGTGCGCTTCTGGCCGACCTGGGGCTTCGCGTCGATGCTACGGACAAAGAAAATTCGTTGTTCACCATGTTCCAACCGAGGAATCTCGTTTTCTCTGTGATCTCCGTTGGCATTCTTTTTAACCCTTAGCAGTCCTATGTCCAGTCAGACTCGACATTCTGTTTTATTGCAACCTCTACCTGTTTCAACAATTTTTTCTATATTTATTTGTAGTATCACAATTGTACCATTTAAAGGTAACATTTCAGTGACTCCCAAATATTCTTGAATAAATGAATAGAGCGTCATATTAAGCTGTAATTGAACGAACTAACGTCGAACCTCAAAGTGACAAACCAAGTGCACTTCGGACCGCAAAGGGTTAATACATTCTGTGCCAAGGAAGTTTTAGTTGTATGTTGTTTACAAAGTGCACTGAGTTTTTAATTGATAGATTAACACTGGAACTACCAGGTCGAAATGGCCAATTCCTAATTTGTTCTTTTATAATTATTACAAAGGCGCAGACACTTCTTTGAAAAATGATTAAAAACAAGCCAATTGGAATCTTAATGAACTCACGCTTATAGCCTTTATGTGATCAGCAGTTCTAGTGTTAAGTTACATTCAAGCTTTACTGACTTTTAAGACATTTTCATATTATTTCTTCATGTTTTCCTTATCTCGCGTGTACTATTCTTCGACACGCATCTCGCAAAAATGTCTCCTTACAAAAATTCCATAAATGGTACTTGTGGCAACGTGTTAAGCACTTTTTACATATTAATTTAAGAACTTTGAAATGACAGGCTTGCTTGGAAAGTCTCGTCTCAGTTTGAAATGAAGTTCGGAGAAACTTCGATGATTCTATAGTTTCTATAATTTCTCATGTATATTCCCGAGTGTCCCTGTTTTCAATTGCTATTGGATTTACTTACTAGGAGGGAGCCTGATCTCCGTTCGTGGAGACGAGAGTCGGGGTGTGTCCGAATCCGAATCCTTTGGGTCCGAAGAGTTTGCTGTAGCAGGATCGGCAGTGGATTTCCTTGTCGGGCCCGTCGCAGGCTAACATCGAGTCCAATGGTCGATGGCACTCGGCACAGTTGAAGCATTTCTTGTGCCACATGGTTCCTTTGGCGAGCTGTTGCTCGGCAGCGAACACCATGCCTCCGCAACGGGGGCAGCCCTGACCAGCTGGCGCCTTGATGGAGGTCGTGTCTGGATTGTAGAATGGTCGACTGGCAGATATTTCTTCCTCCCTGGAAGATGGATCACTTTGGAACCGTTTGTCTTTCGAGTGTGTCTTATTGGCTTCGTTTAGTTTATCAACATTGTGGAACTGTTTGTGTCTTAGAGGATTCTGTCTTTATCTGTAACTTAGTTGAAGTGTTCTCTTTTTCTGTGGCTTGAATAGGGTGTTCAGTGCTGTCTAGTTAACTGCAGCTTACGGTATTCAGTTTTGTTCAGTTAGCTATAATTTAGAGTATTCAGTTCTGTTCAGTAAGCTACAGCTTAGTTAGGGTATCTAATTTTGTCTAGTTAGCTACAACTTAGTTAGGGTATTTAGTTTTCTCCAGATAGCTACAGCTTAGTTAGGGTATTCAGTCCTGTCCAGTTAGCTACAGCTTAATTAGGGTACTGTAGTTCTATCTACAACCTAGTTAGGCTGTTCAACCCATAACTACAGCCCAGTTGTGTCTACTTATCTACAGCTTATTTAGGGTACTGTATTTACATCTATACTTTCATTTCTGTTACAATCTAGTCAGAGTACTCAGTCCAAAACTGTCACTCAGTTAAAATAATCTATCTCTGATTCATGAGACGTCAGAACACTGTGTCCCAAGCTGTAGCCCAGCTAGGTCATTGATTTATAACTTCATCCTACATAGGCTATTCTTTCCTCAACCACAGCCAACAAAGAACACTATCCAAAACTATAACCTAGCACAACATCTCATCAGTTCTTTAAACTTCAAACTACTTAAGCACCCTATCTTTAGCTTTCAACACCAAGACACCCAGCTGTGCCAATAACCCAGTTGAATCAATTGAAGTCATTGGCTCCTTGCCTTGCTAGGACACTGAAAGCACCCTGTTCACCAAGATTTCTCAAGACACTCGAGTTTTCTTTTCCCAGCACTTCATTCTGGTAGCTGTATTTCACATTTCTCTGACATCGTAGCTAACTATCCTCAAGCTAAAACGCCACCCTGTCAATTGAATAATTATACGAACAGCACTGCTGCCTCAATTTTAATTCTCATTATTCCCAGTAACAAAGAACCCAACCGAAACTGACAGACATAGATATAACCATAGAAAATAAATGATCTTGGAAGAAATCAGATGCAACCAGCAAATAAGTCCTAAAAAAATTCTTTTCCGCGCCTCCCTATCTTTTAGTAAATATAATAATACAAGTTTCAAATAATAACTTTATTACAAAATAATTACTTCACTGAATTCGTACGTTACGTTATCATAAGTTTATTTACAGTCAAACCTGTTTTTGTGCGGTCCTTTTCTATGCGATTTCTCTTATGCTGTACATGAATTCCAACGGTGTTGTCTTTCAAGTGACAAAAGCGACTTTGAACCAGTTCATCACAAGAAAATGCGCGTTTTGTGAAAATTTCTCCATATTTGAGAAATTAAATTTTTCAAAATGATGCTATGCGTAATTTAATTATGTATTTTGCTTGAAAGCACTTTCTCACTATTTCGTAACATTTTTGAATATTTTTTTTTCTGCGATTTTTCTTATGCGGTCCCTATATGCCTAAAACAGGTTTGACATTTGTAGAGAATTATGGTTCGAACATTAATTTTTTTAAGCCTGCAGCTAATCAACTAAGATGTCAGAGACCTATTCGCTGTTTTGTTCGGATGTACTCACGTCAGGCCGTCAGTCTGTAAGAATCCCGATCCACATGCGAATCCGTATCCGTGCGGTCCCCATTTCTTTCCGTAGCATGTTTTACAGTAGACGTCTTTGTCGGGCCCGTCGCAGGCGATGATCGAGTCCAGGGTTTTGGTGCAGTCACGACACTTGTAGCACTTCCTGTGCCATTCGCGGCCCTTGGCCAACACCTGTTCGGCGGCGAACACCACGCCGCCGCAACGTGGACAACCCTTGCCAGGCGGGGCCTTGATCGCGGCGGTGTCGATCACGGTGGTACGAGGCGCAGCATCGCTGCATTCAAAGTTCGCCCGTTAATTTATTCCCTTTGGCATTCTGTGATCCGTTACCAGCCGAAAGCTTTGTTCTCGATATTAAGAATGAATTGGTGAAAAAGAATAGAAAGTATTACTTTCGAATTTTGTAATCGATGAGACTAGGCTGATACTGAATTTATTTGATGACCAGTTATAATTAGTGGTTTTAAGTTAAGTGATCGGTGACTGTATGAGAGTTAGGTGCAGAATTATTTGAAAAGTAATGGTTGCGAGTTTTTGATAATTAAGTTATTTGTAAGATAGTTGCTAATTTTGGATCATTATGAAATTATTTTTGGAAGATGGTAGTTATACAATTTTTAATTGTGACGGAAGTATTTGAGAAATAATAGTTGATATTAATATATTTTTAATAGTTAGGAAGGTTATGTGAAAAGTGATAGTTTAAGAATTGAAAACATCGTGCTCTGTCAGTATTGTCTATCCTTCAGTATTCAGAATTTAATTCCCACCTCTCAGTGGTGTCACTGGGAGAATTGACTAATGCTTTTGGCTGGCAGACCTATATCGAGTCGCACGGACGAGAATCTTAATCCGCTCTTCATCTTTAACATTCCAATCAGTGCGACTTCAAGAAGACACTTGTACATTCAAAAAGAAACCATGCAAACGCCAGGTGTAGGAAAAAACCATAGGATTTCTGATCAATAAATCAGCAACGAACGTTGATAGAATAAATATGCAATCTATTAACTTCTCCCAGTTTTTCAATAAAATCTCAAAGCAGTATCATACAGATTTTGATCAGAATTAAATCTTAGATCTCAGATCAACCAATTCTATTTTTCACTATAAAGAATCATCACTATCGATAACATCTTCCACATTACTTTAACACTCATTAATGTCCCAATATTTCAGAAACATACAATAATCGAATAAATTATTAATTACTAAATAAGAATTCAACAAATCCCATAATAAATATCAAATTTTATCATTTTCAATATTTCATTTAGTGCAAAGGATGAAATCAATTTTACTGACATAAAATTTCAACGAAAGATTCTAGTCTATTAATTAGGAGAAGCCCCTAAATTGCAAATTTACACGTTGATAGTTCCAGTCATGTGTAAACACGTTCTACTCGAGAACAATGGGAACATTTACAGCGTGATCAACTCGATGGTGCAGGTGTGAATCGATGCAGGTGAAGTTATTCACTGTTCATTCGAGAAAAAAAATGTAACACACTGGCCACTCGAAGATAGAGAATGTCAAGTATCAGGGAAAATAAGTCGGGTATGGTTTTCAGTGAAGTGACCAGACCGAAACGAGGCGTACTTTGACAGTCTGGCACGATCGAGTGGCTCGAAAATAGAAAACGTGGTGGTAATGGTGAGTAATAGCGCAAAGCGTTAAGGCGGCGACTCGTGTGTACCGTATGTGTGCACATATACACGCGTACTGGTCTTTGAAAACGTTCGCTCGTTCTTTCGCTCGTACGCCGCGTTTCTTCGAATTCCATTTTTACTTTGACTTCGATCGGTAGTTCGTAATTACTCGATTCTTCGGTGAACTTTCTAGAGAAAGAGTTAAGCTGCTCTGTACTATGGGATTTTGTAATATTTCTTAATATTTTTCAATGTGGAAGCCTTTCTTGAAATTAGACATTCTATAGGTGGAAATCTGAATTTTGTAATTGAAACTTTGAAACAAATTTTCCAGTGTTCTACTATTTTTAGTATAGAAATTTTTTTTAGAATAGGTAATCTATAGTTTGGAATTTTAATTTTGTAATTGAAACTTTGAAATAAATTTTCTAATGTTCTACTGTTTTTAGTATAGAAATTTTTCTGAAAACTAGACAATCTATAGTTTGGAATTTTAATTTTGTAATTGAAATTTTGAATAACCAGCAATCTTCCCTTGGTGTTCCTCTGGTTTTGATTAATTGAGAAGTTCGAAGAAACTGGGCTGTCCCAACACTTAAGCAACCAATAATCCACGACCAATTGAAAACAAAAATCAATCAGACAAACAGATCAATCTACTAATAACAAAATTCTACAGAACTCTAACGGTAACACTGCTAGTGATAACAAGTAGACTGCGGATGTTTATGCAAATCCCGATTCGTGTATATACGCATGTTTACAGAAAAAAGTAATTAACGACTGTTGAACCTCAAACTGTATAGTAGATCGTCAAACATTTCTATTGGAGTCCAACTTCTGAATTCTAGTTTTGACTCCTAACATTTTTCAGAGCTCCACATTGAACTTAAAATTCTCAAAGATTTCTTTGGACTTTTAGTCAAAATACTGAGTTCAGATTAATCCTATTCTCAGAGATTCCACTTGGCTCGCAGCAAATTGTTGAATTCAAATTAGTTCTAAAATTTTCAACGATTCTATTAGATTCTCAGCAAATTTCACTCATGTTAGTCCTAGGATTCCCAGGAATCTGGATTCTCAGCAAAACGCTGAGTCCAATTTGAACCAAGAATCCCTCCAATCTGGATCTACGTAGACTCTAACAGTTCGAGGTCTCAAAACTTGCAGAAACTCGTTCGCAAAACATCACGTGCATCCGCAGTCTAGTAACAAAACTAGGACGTTGCTAAAACGTTTGTCAGAAGTTGCAAAACGTTGATCGTCCCCGGCCAATCCGCACGACGCGTCCCGTCGTGCCTCGGGGGGTTGATCAAGCATTGAGACCGGCATATACGAATGAACACCGCGCGTACCGTAAGAAGATGACTCAATCTCTAGGACAATTAAACCCTCGTAAATCAATCGAACTCTCAACAGATACAATCACAATGTCTATCAAGAAATTCCAAAAACTCGAATTAACTCGGTAGTTTCAGTATTAACTTTCTGAACAAATTCCCAGCGTCGCTCTCAGCGACTCCCTACTTTTGATAAATGTAATCATCAACAGAATTTTTCACATTTTCTGCTCTATTTATCGCTACCAAAAGAAAATAATCGTTCACAGCAACTTTGGCGCTTTCTGGACAAATTCCCAGCGTCGCTCTCAACGACTCTACTTTTGACAGCGATAAATATATTCATCAACAGAATTTTTCATACTTTCCGTTCTATATATCGCTATAGAAAAAACAATCACTCACAGCGACGCTGGCGTTTTCTAATCAAATTCCCAGCGTTGTTCACAGCAACGTTCTCTAACTGTGAACGAAACCGAAAAGCGATCATTCCCAGAATCCTCATCACTAGCCACCAAGTAATCTCCTTATGGTACACGGAAACCACGCGCACAATATATTATTATATGGACTGGCGAAAGTGGAATAGCATAACTGTAGGGTGGAGTGGGGGGAGGGCGCGTACCCCTCGTCCTCAATATCGCACTGCAGCCCGATCCACATAACCCCAGCGTGGCCAATACCTCGCGGACCGAATTTCTTCGGATAGCAAGCTGTTAAGCAGACAAGCGCATCATATATAGTGAGAGTGTAGAAGCCGAGGCGGGATTTCTCTCGCGTGTTCCCGTCTCAGTCTCGTCTCTGAAAACCCACCCATTGGCGTAGCAGTCGCTTTGTAGGGCGCCACCACCTTGGCCGTAGCCATAACCCTTCGGTCCGAATTTCTTTCCGTAGCATACTGCGGAGAACATCGGTTAAAGGTATCTGGTATGGTTCTCACGGTCCTCGGACGTCATCGGGCCGTAACCTTTGACCAACGTGTTCCTCTTTCGAATCGTTGATGTTTCAATGGTTCAAGACGCGTAATGGTTTGGTAATTGTTGACGAAAAATTATGACGCTTCTTTTAGTCGAGTGGTTCTGGAACCTTGGCTGATACAATGTACTAAGTTTTTGGTTTTATCGTTGTTTGAAGTTGTTTAAATGTAATTATAATGTGCACTAATTTTGTAGTTTGTGGTAGGTATTGATAATAGTAAGAATGATGTATATCAATTGTAATAAGTTAATTTGGAATTTTATTATTCGATGAAATTATATCAGTTGTAAATATTGGGAAAGAGATTCCTTTTTATGCAGTGATATATATTGATAATAAGGTAATTTGGAATCTTATTGATTGCTCAATGAAATTATTAGAATATTGTGTATTGGGAAATAAAAGCATTTATCAATAGATGCATAGATCCAACCATAGATCTCGATCGATACATTTCTAGATTATTCTACTGGAGTCTAGAATATTCGACCAAATTGTTACTAAAATTAATCACCAATCAAATCCATCAGACAATATTATCACATAATAGTGGTAATAAAATTGAAATAAATCCCAAGTTGATCATAAACTAAGCTCTAACCTAAATAAGTCCACAGTTCCAGAATCCTCAGTAAATTTGTCAAATAATGAAATTTAACAACACGTTTAACGATTTCGTTTGCGATCAATTTGAAGGAGGCCGTTGATCGGAACACGCTGGACACGTTACGGCCAATCACGTGGAATCGTTTCGTTCCCTCACCTTTGCAGTAGATGTCCTTGTCAGGACCTTCGCAGCAGTTGACGGAATCTAATCTCTTGGTACACTTGGCACACTTAAAGCATTCCCTGTGCCATTGCTACGTGGGAGACAAAGGGACAACTGTTAGTCACGAAAGTACTCCGGGATGGTTCGACCTGTCTCGCGTTCCATTACTCACCGGTTATTCCCGATCAATCTTTCTCAATTTTTACCAATTATCCCCGTGAATCTTTAACCTCTTTTCACCTCTGACAGGTAGACTGCGCATTTTACGCGTTCCGAACATTCTCGATCCTCTAATATCCATCGAGAGACATTGAAAGGATCGAAAGAAATTTTGAACACTTGAAATAAATTGGAAGAAATTGAACAAAAATACAAAGAAGTTCGAAGAAATTTTAAAAAAATTGAAAGAAATCCAAAGAAATTGAAAGAAATGTTTACAAATAGGAATAAATTTCAATTAAAAGGAATTAAAAGCAATTGAAAGAAAAAAGAAATCATTTCAACCCTCACAGCGAAACATACGAGATCGAGATAAAAAAACGAGAGAAGTGAAATTAATTTACGAATCGAAGTGAAAGACCATTCGAAAAATTCATCCCGGCGAGACGTTACGGGGGCACACAGGGGTCAAGAAACGTCACCGAGAACCAGGGGTCGAGGGAAACTGTACATCCGTGTAAACGTGCGCGGTCGGCTGAGGAGACCACAGTGCTCTGCTTCCTCGAAAA